ACCCACCGAGCATATACCTATATTCAGTTGAATCGATAGGATATCTGCTTAGGGCAATGACCAAGTCAACCGACAGTGCCATTTTTCACCATTATGGGACAATTACTAATGTTGAGTAGCCTTTTGGGGATGGGACCACGTCATAGCGGTTGTGTTATTTTTGGTGCTGTGAAAATACACATGTATACAGCTTGCCTACGTTTCCTAGATATACATCGTTTCTGTTTTGATTAGCCCGGGCACGGGTTTTGTCCTGCATCTTAAGGTTTTCCATACCATTTCTGTGGGTGCATATACTCTATCCTGCCGAGGAATTACCTGTTATATAGTTAGGTGTTTCCTAGCTATCAGGTGGGTCCTGAAAAGGTTATCTATACGCGTATATTGACTCGTTTCGCCTGAACGGGTCCCTACCAAGACAAAGTCACCGCACTAGTTCAGGGTTGCAAAACAGTCAAGGGAGATCGTTACATAAGTCAAACTTTCCATCTCGTATCAGTCCTGTTCGGGTGATGCTTTTTACCTGTCGACACTTTCCTCTGACACACGTAGTCGAAGCCCCTCTTTTGTTGTCTCTCTCTTAGCTTATGGCTGTGCCTGTGAAAATTATTTTGTCTTGAGAATTGCTTCCAATTCGTCCAAGCGTGAATATGAAGCACCAAGGAACTGGTGCGGCAACAGAGCCACCTCAGGATCAGCCTCCACCATATGAGGCGGTGCCGCAAGACTTGGAGGGTATTCGCGTCAACGGTGAGAGGTTCCATTCTAGTCCATCAGAGAGCAAGTCTAACCATATGTGTAGATGATGGTCGCATTTCGATCGACGCGAGCTCTCGACTCTGCCGGACTCTGTCCAGACTAATTCCGACGTCTCCCAACCAAAGCACGCCTCCATCAGGACCACCACCAAGTTATGAAGACCTGGTTGTCGCACCACCTAGGTTCAATCTCAATATCGTCATTCAAATCGTGGGAAGCCGGGGGGATGTTCAGCCTTTTCTTGCATTGGGCACGGAGCTACAACGAACCGGCCATCGTGTCCGGATCGCCACGCATAACGTTTTCGAGAAATTCGTGGCAGAAGCTGGGCTAGAATTCTACCCCATAGGCGGAGATCCGGCCGATCTGATGGCGTACATGGTCAAAAATCCCGGTCTCATTCTTAGTATGAAGAGCCTGCAAAAGGGCGATATCCAAAAGAATCGTCTGATGATGGCGGAAATTCTTCATGGATGCTGGCATTCATGTCTGATGCCTAATCCTGTTACAAATACGCCATTCGTCGCCAACGCAATCATCGCCAATCCTCCCAGCTTCGCGCATGTTCACTGCGCCCAGGCTCTCGGGATCCCGATTCACTTAATGTTCACAATGCCATGGACCGCAACCCGAGCTTTTCCGCATCCTTTGGCAAATTTGTATAATATCCATCCTGATCAGGACTGGATCAACCGTGTCTCTTATTCAGTGGTGGATTGGCTATCTTGGCAAGGGTGAGCTGCAAATGATTCTGTCCCATGATACAATATAGGTGATTAATCTTTTCAATCTCTCTGGTCTAGTCTAGGGGGTGTTATCAACGATTGGCGCAAGTATGAATTGGGACTGGAGCCTATATCGCTATCTGATGGTCCCTTTCTCCTGAAGACCCTTCAAATCCCTTACACATATTGCTGGTCCCCTGGTCTTGTTCCTAAGCCACATGACTGGCCTGCGAATGCAGGTATGGTTCTTTCCCCTATTGCTTCATTCCAAAATAATTCCTGATACAGGGATTAGATGTTTGCGGTTTTTTCTTCCGCGACCCCCCCGATTATCAGCCCAACTCCGAGGTTGTTGCATTCCTTAACTCCGGACTTCCCCCGATTTACATTGGATTTGGTAGCATCGTCATTGAAAATCCAGGAAGGATGACGGAGACCCTTCTACAAGCGACCCAGGAGACTGGTGTTCGAGCCATCATCTCTCGTGGATGGAGTAACCTGAGTGGGCCAGACCTGCCTCATATACTTTATTTGGTCGATTGCCAACCTGAATGGCTGTTTCAACATGTTTGTGCGATTGTACACCATGGTGGTGCCGGAACAACAGCCTGCGGGCTGCGAAATGGCAAGCCAACCACCATTGTACCCTTCTTCGGCGAGTAGGTTATCTAGCTGGAGTGTCACAGCTTTTCCCTCTTCTGACTTATCTATCTCTAGTCAACCTTTCTGGGGAGATATGACTTCTGCAGCTCATGCAGGCCCGGATCCCATACCACACAAGCAACTAAATATACCAAACCTTGTCCATGCAATTCGTTATTGCCTGACGCCTGAAGCAACCCACGCTGCACAGGATGTCGCAAATAAAATGCAGCAAGACCAAGGAGTGAAGGCCGCCGTGGCCTCCTTTCAAAGACACCTCCCACGCCTTACCGAATGTGAGCTTCTACCGCAATTCCCAGCATCTTGGAGATACAAGAAAGGGAAAAGAACGTACCACCTATCCAAGGTTGCTGCAGAAATCCTGGCTGAGAACCACGTGCTAGACCCGAGTAAAATGAAACTGTAAGTTCAATTATCGTTCTTGGCAGATTTGAAGCTTATCATGCTCTACACAAAGATACCAAGCATGCCCAATCCACATCGAAAACAAACGCTGGGACCCGGTGACAGGCGTTTCTTCAGCTGGCTTGGGGATGGCATTTGAAATGCTCAAAGCGGGAGGCAATATTATCTACAAGCCCTACGAAGTTTACAAGGGAGGTAGCAGAGACTCTCTATCCTCGATACACTCACCGAAAAACTCGCCGCAGCTGCTTTTGCCTGTATCGTCAAATGCCGGAGAAAGTTCTTCGTCGCTTCGGAAAGCTCGATCTATGAACTATTTGACAGAGGCCAATAAGTTAGAGCCAAAGGAGAAAGGCAAAGCTCGCGCGATGGCTTCAGCCTTGGCTCAGGCCTCGGGAAAATTTCTGGGAAAGTTCGTATCCGGTACCATGGTCGATGTACCATTGGCTGCTGCCGAGGGATTTCGTGTCCTTCCGGGTCTATATGGAGGCAATATTCATGACAGTGATAGGGTTACGGACTGGAAGTCTGGCATGTTAGCCGGTGCCAAAACCTTCGCTATTGGTATGGCTGAAAGCTGTGTTGATCCGTTCTATCAACCATACAAGGGTGCCAGAGACGCAGGCGCTCTAGGCTTTGCTAGTGGGTTATTCAAGGGAACCTTTGGCGTGATTGCTAAGATGGGTCACGGTAAGATCTTATTTCTTTGCTATTTCTCAATATCTGCTTTTTGAAAGCTCCGTTGTCGCTGATGCCTTTTATTCCGCAGCCTCCATCGGCCTTGTCGCATACCCTGGGCAAGGTATCAAGCGAAGCGTTAAAGCTGCCTTCTTTGAGAGTACCCAAAAGGGGATAGCGACTTCTCTACGCGAGGATGGCCAAGACATGGCTCGGCAATGGAGGGTGAGAGGTTCACAGGACGGGGTTGTTGTTGACAGATTCATGCGTATGGACCGTGAGGATGATTCAGAAGATGACAGTGATTATGTGTAGTGAGCTTGACTTGTTGACTCTATGCGTATGAGGTAGGGGACTTTCTAATAAACATTGCATGACTTTCCCATATTACTTCAACCAAAAAGACGGCTGCAATGCTATCGTTTTTAAAGGAAAAAAAGAAAAGAAAATAGAGACCGCCAAATAGAAACATTTGAATGTAAACAGAACATTTGAAAAAGAAAAGACAAAGTTGGAAGACAATCCCGACTTCAAAGGTTTCAATCAGACCTCCGAGTACACATATGCAAGGGGCATGCTTCCCTCAATATCAGCCCTGGACTTTATATCACTGGGATACCACGTGAGGTAGATAATCATGACAATCGCCATCGGCACAGAATCAAAGACATAAAGCGTCCATTCATGTTGCAACGGATACCCGTTGTTTCCAAGCACATACTCAATGATGCGGAAAATTGAGCGAATCATGATCAAGGCACTGACAGCATATAGCATATACAATGCCTTCTTCCACGGAATCCCTGGTAGGAGAGATTCTGGAGTGGGGTCGCGGCGGATGCGTCTCTCAAACACGAGGGCTGAGATCCAGAAAATGGAAAATGAGACAAGCTGAATCGCTAGTCCACCAATGACTGCAACTTTTGCCCATTGAGGATAACCCAGAATCGAGAGAGAGGACGAGTTGCCTTGGACGACGAAAGACAAAACATCACCCCAGACAAAGGTCTTCGTCAGACGCGAGACGCGGATAACCGAAAGATGCTCCGCCCCGACGCGACGAATTACACGGCCCAGAGTCATGTAAATGGAGGCGGCAAATAGCGTAGGGGCGAGTAGAATAAAGATGTTTTCCAAGATATATGGCCCCATAGTAGTGGTATTACTATGTGCGATAGCGCGACCAATATAGCCAATTATTTCAACTAGGAAAGAAAGGTAAGCTTTTTTTCAGGGCTTGGTAGACAGATCAATTCCAAAGTGTGTGAACATACACAAGCCACCGAGGGTGAAAGCGATACAAAACCACGTTTTGGTCGTGAACAACTTCCAGGAATGAAGCCCAGTCAATCCCATGAATATAAGCATGAAGATGACTGCCGCAGGCAGTGATGGAGTATAATACCAAAAGGTATATGAGCGAGGGACAATTTCTTGCATTTTGAGCAATCGGTCGGTCCAGAATAAAACGGAAGACAGGGAGAGAAAATCAGAAGAAGGTAATGAAAACAAAGAATGAACGATTAAGAGAGACATCAAAAGGTGGATACGTTGCGATCGGTATGAATAGAAAAGAAAGCTCTGTAGAACTTTAGAAATTAAACTTGGAAACATCTAAATCCAGGAGCCTTGGTCTGTGGCGTATCTCCGAAAATACATCGCGTACCTAGATTGTACAGGTCGCATCAGCCCACCCCAAGAGCTAGCGCCGGCCCAAATTTATTCAGCCTCGCTAGGGCCCGGGTGGGTGGCTCGAATACGCGTATAGGGTTTTTGACATGAGAACAGTACCTTACAGTGTGCGGTCAATTTGATTCCAAAATGAAATCAGCAGGAATTTAATTCTCCACTTGCAGCACGTATGTAGTTGCTTATTTCCTTCATTGTAAGATACCGTTATAGAGCGTGATATAGCAAATTCTCATAGCTAGTTTCACCTTCCGAACAATGAATCTACGTTAGATCTATTGCTAAAAGCAGCACAGGAGATATGGGAAGGCCTAGATATTGATATGCTTAAGCATCTATACTAAACGATGCCTTACAGGGTAACTGATGTTATAAGTATGAGGGCTGGCATATTGGATCGAGGTTTCTGCTAGGCAGTACTATAAAAGTGGGTCCTAGGCCTAAATAATTAGACACCCTTCAAAGATCCAGATAGGTCCATACTCGAAACTATTCTTGGGCGTAACAGTCCGCCAAGCGATTTGGGGCTGAACAAATCCATGCCAGAATACCCCGGGCACATTTTGCGGTTTGATAGAAGGTTGACTTAGAATATGTACTGCATGTCCCAAAAACTGGTGTCATCAACTTATGCTTCCAACCTTCGCCCAACCTTATGCCAAAATCAAGCTATAAGCTCCGGACCACGCCTACATAATAGACGCACATTAGTGATCACCTTTTCCCATCTACGTCAAATCAACCTTGTAGCAAACCTCGCACCATTAGTACTTTACGTGGTCTATGGAACCAATTCTCCCGCGGAGGCCCAATATAGGACAGATGAAGTCAAACCGATACATACCTTCATCGTAACACAATAAATTGATTCTGGAGTATGGAGAATTGCATGCTAGCATGCCGTAATAAACCGCGCTTAGTCCTTTTTTCTAAAAAAAAAAATTCCGCAAGGGACAAGCAATGGCCATGCAATGAGGGCGTATAAACTATTTCCAAAACACTCCTATGGCTTGACGTGGCTGAAGACAAAGCCCGGGAGACAAAGGCCCATACATAAGTTGGAGTGTGGTGAGTCAGTACTGGGATATCTGTTGAAAACGAAAGAATTGATGGGGTAGCAAGGGCGTAGAGCGGGCGGGAAAGCTCTATGGGAAGCATAGCGGCGGGGCCATCATCATGGGAGTGGCTAGGCTGCGGTATAGGGGCACAGCTGGTGACGTATATGTAGCCTCTCGGCTAGCACGACATGAAGTTTGAGCGATCGGCGCAGCTCTCATATTGCCATAAGGTCGTTAAGAACTGATACGGAGAAGGTGGATCTTTCTTATCACCTGGCAGTGCCTGCACTCTACGCGCAATCTTTTGAGTTAGATATGTAGGGCCGAATACGCGTATGCACAGACCAGCTCAACTTTAGGTAGTCTGCGCGGGGCTGTTCAGTTTCATGGTCATTTCCTGAAAACCTTAACGGACGATTGCCTACTTTGGTCGAGAGCCATAATGAATACGCCAATAATTAACCGAACGGTGCTGGCATCCGAGGTAAAGGGAGTCTTCTTCTAAGACACCCCACCGACATAATGCGGCAACCCGAGCATACGAGGTCACCATGGCCCAAGCTTCAACCTTAAGGAAGCTCGGTTTCGCTCTCGTCCCTTCTTAGCCATTTCCCATGTAGATCGCTCTCCACCCGATGCTGTCCGAAATGGCACGCAGAGCCCATCTCAAGTCTCGCCTAGGATGTCGGGTTTGCAAGCAGCGCAAGGTCAAGTGCGATGAACGCAAACCCGTCTGTGATCGATGTGTGACCGCCGGCCGCCGAACGAAAGGCTTGACTCGAGAAGCGGGTGGTGGAGAGTCAATTGGGGAGAAGAGAAGCCGCAAGGGGCAAGCTTGTATACTCGTATACTCGTATAGCTTGCCCAACCAGGCACGTTTCTTGTTTGTGGAGTAGGAAATCTCGCTCTCTGGATAGCGTACTAGATATCTCACCTTAGTGAATGGGCTGTGTCTTTTTAATGCCAGATCGGCGTACTCTCCACTCTGTTCTTCTGCAATGTTAGCAATACAGGAAGACAGGCTTGGCCTAATTACAGAGTTGTATTTAAGCATACAATGTCCCAATCTGTAAGCTCTCAGTTCGACCAGTCACCCACCCAGATACACATCATCTTCTCACTCTTTTCTCGACACTGAAATCACCATGGCACTTAACTGCTCGCTGAACGCACTCCAGGTGCCGGCTCTCCCAGGCGCCAACATCACTGCTTTCGAAGTCAATCTGGTTCAGAACTACACCGGCATCGCCACCTCAAAGCTCTACCTCGGGCACCCGACTGTCTCCGTCGACAACGCTACATTCTGCAACGTCACTGTTTCTTACGAACACATCGACGGAAATGACACCGTAAACGTCGAGACATGGCTTCCCATGGATAACTACAACGGTCGAATTCAAGCCAGCGGCGGCGGAGGCTGGGTTGCGGGTCGATTCCAAATCACTTACGCCAGCATGATGGGAGCCCTCGGCGAGGGATATGCCACTTCGACAACAGATGCTGGACTCGGTCAGACTCCAGACAGCTGGGCGCTGACCGCGGACGGTTCGCCTAATGTGCATGCTTTGGAGGATTTGGCATCGATCTCGCTCCACGATCAGGTTTGTCAAGCCCCCCACGCCGATCCTTCGTAGAGCCATACTAACGTTTTATGTCTTGTAGGCTATCCTGACGAAAGCGGTAGTCGAGGACTTCTACGGCCAGCCTGCCGCATATGCATACTGGAATGGCTGCTCCCAGGGCGGCCGACAGGGCATGATGCTCGCCCAACGCTACCCGGACGCATACGACGGGATTCACGCCTGTGCGCCCGCTGCGAACTGGAACGAGCTGTTTGCGTTCACTCTGTGGCCGCAGCTCGTTATGGAGTGGGCCGACTATGTACCTCGCCCCTGCGAGCTGGACGCCCTATCGAAGGCGGCCATCGAGGCTTGCGATAAGCACGACGGTGTCTACGACAGCATGATTTCCGATGACTCGGCTTGTGACTTTGACGCGTTGTCTGTGGTCGGACAGGCATATTTCTGCGCGGATACAAACACGACAGAGACCATTACCAAGGAGGCGGCTACGATTGCTAAAGCCACATGGACCGGTCCACGGACCGCCAACGACGACTTTGTGTGGTACGGAACCAACACGGGGAGTCCGCTAGGCACTTCAGGCGAAGGACTGACAACTGCCCTCGGTCCAGCCATGACGTCCTGTTCCGAAAATGGGACTTGCGTGGGCGTGCCACTCGGTCTGGGCGATGTTTGGCTGAAGTACTTTGTCGAGAAGGACGCCAACTGGGATTATAGAGAGATGACACCTGCGGAGTTTGACCGTGATGTTGCCAAGTCGATCGAGTTGTATGATGCCATCATTGGCACGAATGACCCCGACTTGACGAGCTTCTACGAAAGTGGCGGAAAAATTCTTGGATTTCATGGCATGGTAAGTGAAGCTCAACATCCTGGTACATGCGCGTTGCTTACCCTCTTCTAGATGGACCAAATTATCACCGTTAAGGGAACCGAACACTACTACAACGCAGTATCAAAGGTCCTACCGAACGTGGGTGAGTTTTACCGCATGTTCGAGGTGCCGGGTCTACTGCACTGCTCAGGGGGCAACGGCGGGCAGCCGAGCAACACTTTCGATGCCCTGCGCGCCTGGGTTGAGAACGGCACTGTTCCCGAGTCGCTACCCCACTTGTACACGCCAGTTGAAGGTGGCCCTGAGTTTGAGAGGCTCCTGTGTCCGTACCCCCAGATGGCCGTTCTCAAGAAGTGTGAGAGGGAGGAGATTAGCCCGAAGATGACTACCAGGGCCGGGGACTACGTTTGTGTTTGAGCGGTTTGAGTGAACAAAAACGGGCCCAACACACTTCGTCGTTGTATGTACAGATACTGCGACCTGATCGGTCAACAAATTTTAGATAGAACGATTTTCAAGAGCTTACAGCGATGGAGGCACTGTAGTTGCCACATTCATGTATGTAGTATAAGCACCAGAGCATTGAACACGAAACCGTATTCAAGGACATTGTATAGAACCTCAGCTTGCCTATATTAGTTTCATGCTCTTCTTATTCAAATATGCCCGCGAACCCTATTTATGCCTCATTAAACTCACGCAGTTTCCCTTCAAGCAGCCCGTCGATGGCGCCGCCTGTAATCTAGTACAGCAGGGGCCAGCATCTCCGCAGCTTTACTAGCAGCCCGTTCCAGGTCGATTATAGATGTGGTATTCCATGCATCGTCAACAAAGATATTGCTGATCCCACCGCGATGCCAGAATGCTCGTACCAGTGCCATGAGCATAGCCTCGTTGAAAGGCTCGTCCCACGGAGACTGCCTACATTCCTACATTGATGCCACGGCATTCGGTACGTGCAGAGCCTAGATACGCATACATGTCGCGCCATGCAGCTAGTACCTTAAGGTAGTTAGCACCACCGCTTTTGCTCCGGCTTTCGTCACCATTGATCACTGGCTCACCTTCAACCACCTCAACCTCCCTCCCTCCCTTCCGCGGGCCACCAATGTGGTAGTACGTGACTAAAATCATTTGCCAAATTATGGCTTCAATGTCGGCAAACTGCTATGGTCCTAGCCCTCACCCACCCAGTTGATTGGACCCTATGGTTCGCAATGGCTGACTATAGACTGCCAGATCCCCCCTGCTGCAGAACTGCAACGCTGCAGCAGCCTTTCACCTTTCGCCTTCGCATCGCCCGACACTGAGAAGATGCTCGTGCCCATCCCATCTCCCTGAGTGAGCGAGGTGGGGGGACCTGGTTGGTGGGACTTCTCCGCATTGTGACACTCGATGTGCCGCCCGACAGCAGTGCAGCCTTGGCATTGTGATCACAAAAAGGACACTGCCAAGATTGGGGAGCGTTCTGGGCTGAAGAGGATAGTCCGCTGCGTTGCGCCAATAGCTCAATGTAGACAGCATTGCGATAGTACGTAGCACCAGTCGTTGCATCCTTAACGCAGTAGAAGAAGAGGGTGAAGAATGTTAGCAGAAAGTCAATATTAGGATGGTCCAATAGTAGTTTGATAATATCAACCGCACCGTCGGCCGCCGCGAATATGAGCGGAGTAAAGAACTAAGGACCTTTGTCATTGACTGATATAGTCTTTTGATAGGTGAGAAGGAGATCGATAATATTCAAGATCAGTAGCAGAGTGAGAGTTAATAAGCCCTGATGCCGCATAGTCAGTGCAATCCAAAGTGGCGACGTTCCTGCAGGACTTTTTTGGTTGATCGGCCGAATTTTGCAAGAGAAATTCGACCATGGAATAATGGCACCCCTAACAAGCTGACCAAAGAGGCGGTACTGCATCGGCACGTTGCGGATTTATTCGAATTCCCGGCTGTCGGAGTATGAGTTTGACGAGGGGCATGGAACCATTTCTAGCAGCCTGTGCCAAAGGAGTTTGACCGAGATTATCGATGCAGTTCAAATCCACATCAAGAGCAATTCAGCCAGCCTTGGTTCTGAATTGTCCATTGCATGCCATATTGCAGTACGTCTTCTCTCATCTCGATGGTTCAGGTCGATATGGGGGCTCAAAAGCAAGGCTTCGAGAATGAGTAGCTTTTTTTCAATGGTAAAGTAGCGGCCGTATCTTTCGAAATGCAGAAGCAGCGGAGTTTTCTGCTGGTGGTTGACACGGTTGACATCAACTCGTGGATTTCGTACGAGCATTTGAATTGCCCCGAAATCGCCCATTTCTACCGCTACATGCAGCGGAGTTTGGCCATAACGATAGCGAAGGTTGGCATCTGTCCGCTCATCCGATAAAAGGAGTTGGAAGATGTAAGATTGGCGAAGCCTCAGCGCAATCGTAAGTGGCAATGTCCTGTCCAAAGATTGTTTATTGAGATCGATATCTTTCTCTTTGATCTTAGGCCAGTGATGTATATTTCACCTCTTGTGCATGCAGTACTTGCCACAGTGTTACTATTCCTGTGTTTTGTACGTCTTGTTCTGGCCCATGAAGCTTTCCAGGGAAATTCTTTGCACAAGAAGGTTCACCTTGCAGTATCTTTGCCAATGATGTTTCTACAAGCGGTGCTAGTTGGATTGAGCTGGAACGGACCAGGTGATACTGAAATGGAGTAGATTGCGGGGTTAACCAGCCTATTTCCATCTTCACTTGCAGTAAGTGCTATTACTCCTTTCTCGGATTTGTGTTAACTATCAAGCGAAAGTATCTTTGGATGATCATTGCGCTGCGAAGCTTCTACGATACATTGAGAATATCCTTACCGTCAATTGCGGTCTCTTCCTGTTTGATCAAAATAACGACCATGTTGACCGGTACATACGTTTATCATCCGCTGCATTTCACCGTACTTTTCCTTCTGTTTCTGGATTATTTGGTCTTGGCGTCCTCCCTATCGTGGCTAGATAGGCATACAATAGCTCATTCCCGGACCCAATCACAGCTACGCTGTGCTATATATTGCATGTATGGAATGGCAGCTATTTTTCTTCTCATTGCGGTCTTAGGGGCTGTACTTGACTGTTGGCTGCTGTCGATGGAGGTGAATCCTGCTCCTTTCCGAGAAAGAATACACTTCCTTGCTGTTCATGCTGACATTGGTAGCTCCAACTGATTGTCCTCACTGTTTGGACAACCATATCATATTACGCTACACAACGTGCTGGAAGCCCAGTCAAAGAGCGAATTACCCATTTCATCGACATGATATGCAATGTATGCCAGAGATTAAGTTTGTGGGCCATCCAGGTTGCTTTCGTCGCACACTAGATTTGCTTCCATAAGCGTAGACATTCAAATATCTAGCTCGGCGTTCTACTGGCTCAGCGAAATGGGAAAAAGGAGTTCTTCTTGCCATATTAGAATTGAAAGGCAGCTATGTGTGGACAGACCTACCGGATTTGGCGAGTGACCTAGAATCTGAGGAATCGATGTCTCTTGATAGCCGAGATTTGCTCGGATTTGGCCATTCCACTTCTCCAATGAAGTTGGAGAAACTAGAAATCCCGGCAATGTTGATGAAAAACTTCGCTGCGAAGCTGCAACGTTTATCTGGATACATGAGAATTGTCCGGAAATACCTATTCCACAGTTATGGGGTTTTGGACTTGTTGGTGGCCAAAGTGTATGGAAGCTCAATTGATATCGTTCTTGATTATATGAAGTCTAACGTGTGGTTTATGCAGTTTACGAAACCGCAGAATACCCCTTTGGGGCTCAGATTTCTATGGTCAATCAAAAGATCTATTATGTGGTTCTTGGGATGTTCCCTGCCCTGTCCCTATATTTGCCATCAACGTTCGACTATGCTCAAAACTGGGTACTTGGTTATGGATTATATTGGCAACTCAGATGTGCAAATGCTCTCAGAGACTTGGGATGAACACCGCCATCAACGGGATAAGAGAACGAACCTTTTCAAGGGACTTTCTCGCATTATGCTCTCTTTAAGTCGGGTGCCGCTACCTCGCATAGGATCTTGGACCTTGGACTCGAATGGGGCTTTGCGACTTTCTAATCGACCTCTCACCCTTCGACTGCATCAATTAGAGAACTCGGGGATTTCGACCAACGTTAGTCGAAGTTTGACCTACTCGGTAGCGGACGCGTACTATCTTGATCTTCTATCTTGTCATGATAGTCGTATACGGAACCAGCCAAACTCCGTCAGCGATGCGGATGATGGCCGGGCTCAGATGGCAAGATTAACGATGATGAAAGCACTCCTGCCTCATTTCTCTAAAAGAGAACATCGAGAAGGACCTTTTTTTTATAGGCTCACGGATCTCCATCCTAGTAGTATCTTCGTTGACAGCCAATGGAACGTTAAGTTTGTGATTGATCTCGAATGGGCCTGTTCACTGCCAGCCGAAACTTTGCGTCCTCCATACTGGTTGACCGGCCGCTCAGTCGATGACTTAACAGGAGAGCACCTTGGAGAATTCAGGGAGGCGTACGAAGAGTTCGTGGATATTTTTGAGGAGGAAGAAAAACTCTTTCCTCCTATCAACAATGTCTATTCCTATAGGACCACTCTTATGAGAAATGGTTGGCAAGTCGGAAACTTTTGGTATTTTCATGCCTTGGACAGCCCGAAGGGCTTATTTAACCTCTTCCGTCAAAATGTTTATCCCATTTTTGCGCCTTCACATCAGGTTGCTGCCGAGTTTTCGCGGCTTGTATCGGAGAAGGTCGTGTATGTAAGGCCAAAGCCAAAATCGAAGCGGGGCTTGAGGTCATGTTCGATAAAGTACTTGTAGTCGGTGTATACGCCCTCGGTAAAGTTGGCTAGGAGCGTTAGCTTATAAACATGAAAGCAGCGGACGGAACGACGTACACTGTGTGAAGTTATTTGACGTCGCATCTGGCTGGGTCGGGTTAAGAAGAGCACCGTAATCTTCGGCTCGCTTAAAACAACAACTTCAACGCGAACCAAATTTTTGAAATTACTCAACCACCACGACGGCTACGGCCTATAGAATTAGCCAGTTTACTATCAACCCCAGCCGCTATCGATTGAGCCTAATTTTATAGGGGATATCGATATGGTTGGGGCAAAACCCTCGTGGCCGGCCCTTTCGGGGATCCCCGAGGCAGTAAACATGCACAATCAGAATTTTTTCTTTTGCATTTTGAACCTCAACAAAGATGCGCAGCAATACCTATCATTTAACGAATTAAATGAGAAACAGCTCCCTAAACTGGTAGTCAGTTTCATACAGTAAATAGCTAATGTCTGCAATTTTCTGTAACACAAAATTGTAGATATTCTGACCGCTAACTGCCGTATCGGCCCCGAGCTAGCCAACATCCGGCAGACCTTTCAGAATGTCCAAGAACAAACCTATCACACTCAATCGAGTATACAGAAGCAAAATAACCAGTTCTAAACCTCTGTAATCCGTAACGCGCCTCTCCCGGCCCATATAACTTCGTTTTACGGTTCCTCTAGTACCGCCCCGGCCACTCCGTCGGAGCTCAGTAAGGATCGCGAAATTATTATTAAGTTACGGGATGTTGATGCAGTATATATCTACTGACGTCTTACGATCTCGGATATCAAGCAGAAAACGGAAACAGCAAAACAGAAAATATACAGTTAAACAGGGATTTTCTCTCTAACTAAGGTACGTTTTGTAGCTGCTAAACAGTTTAGATCCGGTAACCTAAGTCTCTTATTCCGTTACGCCACTGAGGCTGAAGCTACCAAGACCTACAATCAATGGATCAACTACCTAAGCGCGAGAGCTATGTTACGGCATCCCTCTTAGGGTATTATTGTACATGAGATCGTATTTAAGTCAATCGGGAACCTTACTACCGATACAAAACAATAACGGGTAATTAACGAGTTATTCGAAAAGAATAGAGACTGCTAGATAGGTAAACAAGAAAGCTCTATAGAGTCCCTAAATTACGTGTATCGCGTGACTTACTCATCCGTCTAACTATAAGAACCAGAAATTATCTGCTTTGATTGTAGAATTCTTAGATTTCCGTTACGCCAACGAGGCAATCGTACGAGATACTATTTGGGATAGCGTTATCTATAAGACAGTATTATATAATCGGACTACTTGTATCTAACGGTACTTTAACTGCTAACAATATAGTTACATAAGAATTGTCTGTTCGAATGAAATAACTTGCAGGTTATGTAGGGGTAGCCACGAGACCCGGAACTGTTTCCACAAGTTTACTAATAGCCAAGAATGCCGCTGTACAGGGTATAGAAAAGCACACGTTGTCTGGCACAAAGGGTATCCGAGATATACAGCAGAGACGGACCGGATTTAAGCCGCAGCAGTATACCGATAAGTCTAATATCGGGTCCCTCCTTACCTGCAGGACTTTCAGTTCTCCGTACGTAACGGTACGGAGGCTTCCAGCTCGTTCAACAGCGAGGGATGCAGCCAGCCGCACATAAGCCTTTCAGAGAGACATATAAGGTCCGTTAGTAGACCTGCAAGCGTCTGTAATCATTTAACAGTCCAATTTTAACTGGGATCTACGCTGCCGCACGCCGGCTCGCAAGAAGTAATTCCTGTAGCTAGTAAACCCTCAGATAATAGAATGGATTTTGCTGCAGACGGAATGGATGCACCTCCGCAATCTAACCAGGAGAAAACCGGTCAGCAGAGCGAGCCGGAGATGCCTGCCCCAGTAATCCCGATGCCTAGGGATTGCCGTAAACGAAGAAGTAGCATGCAGAACGTTATCTCGTCTAAAAGAACGTGCCAGAGTGCCCGTATCCAGTCCGCAATACGGCAGGAAATCTTATACCTAACTATTATACCAATTAATTTACTAACCGACAAGATACTACCTACGAAACGATCCCGCAATAAAGCAGCATACCGAGAACGATCGATCTCGGCCAATGAGACCCCTACTGTTTTCCTCCCGAAGTCCCCGGTACTAACTACTGTACCTACTACGGCTTCTACTACAAGGACCCGCTCAGTATTACGGAAACGCATTAGAGCTGATCGATTATGATCAAGCCCTTTTACATCCTTCAATATAATACGAATCGATCTAAAGATAAAGTAATAGTACAGTTCTTCCGGGACCCTACGATCCTAGAGGCTGATCTTATCTTCGTGCAAAAACCTTAGGAAAATCCTTACTAGGATACTATTTACTATCCTGCTAACGGCTCCCACCAGTTCCTATACCCGGATTCGACCGAGATAGGAAACGAGCGGGCCCGCGTGTGTCTCTATATATTATGCCAAATCGATTCCAGTATCTGGAAATATATAGCGCATTCGAAAGACGTTCAGGAGCTCGAGCTCACGGATGCTAACGGTTAATAAATGCGCATCTTCAATATTTATAATTGATCTAACGAAATAGATAACGTTACCTTTAACTTTATTACTTTCCTAATTATCTCTACCGGTCTCACTAATAGCTTTACTAACCCTTATTTGCTCCTGTTAGGTAACTTTAATTTCTACCATCCGGCGTAGGAGAAAGAACGCTCCAAGAGAGACCCCTCGTTCGACCAGTTACTGGAACTGATAGATACAAGGTGCCTGGACCTCTGGCTAGAGCCAGGCACTACTACGTAGGAACGCAACGGAAGCAGAACCACTATCAATCTAGTCTTCAGCTCACAGGACCTGACCCCTAGGCTCGTTACCTGCGAGATTAACGAACGAGTTTACGCAGATTCGGATCACTATCTTATACGAACTCTTCTGGATATTATCACTAAAATCCCTAAGACACAGCGACAAAAGAACTGGAAAACCTGCAGCGTCAAGGACCTGCAGAGTTTCGTGGATCTTAACCTACAGAGCAAGGCCTTTCCCTTACAAGCGAAACAGCATATTGAGCTCGCTATAGAATATTTTATCGAGACGGTTAACCAAGGAATCGCTGCCTCTACCCTGTGGGCGAAGCTCAGCAAGTGGACAAACCCTTCATTTAATGCAGAATGCCGCGAAATGGTCAAGATCACCCGAAAATTCCGGCATAAATATACGGAATCAATTATTGCGAACGGCCTTACCGACCTTACTACAGGCTTCCAGTAAAAATGCTATACCAAAGTCAGGAATCGCAAAGGAAAGGTATTGGCTAAGACACTGCGCCAGGGCTACCGTTCCTGGGTCCGCAAGGCCGCCGAATCAGGCCCTCGAGACATGTGGAAGGCAGCTAAATGGGCGAGAAACAAAGAAATCCGCGAAAACCTTATACTGACGCTAAAAACGGATAACGGGCTCGCAGAGACCGCAAAACAGAAAGTAAAGGCGTTTCGCAAAGTTTTCTTTCCTGAACTACCTCCGGTTAACCTCTGACATTCTTACAGCCCGGATATTTCCCCAGATCGACTTTCCGGACCTTACTGAGCACGAGATGCTCTGCTGTATCAGGCAAGCGCCTCCCGATAAAGTATTAGGACCGGATAGCATCCCTAATAAGGTCTGGCATTAGCTGAATAAGGTCTTCTCCTTCTTTACTGTACTAACGTAAATATTTAACGCGTGCCTACGTCTGGGGCATAACCCGGAATATTTTCAGCAATTGATTACTGTAGTACTGCGTAAAACAGTTTTTCAGGACTATTGTCTCGCTAAATCCTACCGACCTATAGCGCTCTTGAATACCCTTAGTAAGATCCTGGAGGCCGTAGCTACAGTACGGATCGCTTGGACCCTAAAAAAACGTAATCTCCTACCTAGGAACCATTTAGGGGGCCGCAGGGGTATCTCAGTCGACTACCTGATCCAGTTACTCCTTGATCAGATCTTTGAGAGCTGGGGCAAGGGCCGGAAAGTCAGTATATTACTTCTAGATATAGCTGGTACATTCGATAACGTTTCGCATATACGGTTCTTTCACAATCTACGTATGATAGGGCTCGACTTCTTCGCCGGCTGGCTTAAATCCTTTCTATCGAACCGTTTTACAAGGTTGCAGCTCCCCGGATATCTCAGCAACCTTATTTTAATCCCTACTGGGATCCCCCAGAGGTCCCCTATATCGTCAATCCTATTTCTCCTATTTAATACCCTCCTCATTTGCGCCCTATCGATCGACGGTATTGAGGCCCTTCGGATTCAGCCACCCCTTCTAGAGAGAGGCAAGACGGTTTCCTACGGGTAGATTGACGATGTTGCTACCCTGACCATTTCGGATAGCTACGCGGTCAATCAGTGCCTTCTAGAGAGGGCCCTGGGTAAGGCCGCGGTATGGTCAAGGCAGCATTCGTCCAAATTCGCCCCCGATAAGTTCGAACTCATTCATTTTAAGAATCCGCTTCGCCCTGATCCTGCGATAGAATGACGCGTACTACAGGAATATATATATACTGGCCCGTAGCAGGGAGAAGACCCAGAGGTTAATAACTGGGATCCTCCAGTGGAACCTTTTGGTTACGACCAGCCGCCTATCAAGGATCACGCAACCGGCTTTATTATCAAGCCAGTGAAGCACGCCAAATACTTAGGAATCTGGATCGATAGGATCCTTTCGTTTGATACTTACAGGGCCAAGGCCCTTGCTAAGGCGAACGGGACTTTGGAAACACTCCGCAGCATCTTAGGCTCGACCTGAGGGACCTCCCTGCTGAGCATGTGCCGCATCTATCTGACAGTGGTAGTCCTCCAGCTACTCTACGGGGCGGCTACCTAGTATAGCTCTACGAGCCGGACAGTCAGTTCCAAGAAGCTTCAGAAAACAGTCAATAAATTCTAGAGGATTCAAACCCGCGCAGCTGTTCTTATTAGTGGCGTATTTCGTAATACAGCCTCTGCCGCACTAGAAATAGAGCTTTATCTCCCTCCTATACGAATACAGATACAACAAATCATTCAGGAGGCAGCCATTCAGATCCAAACCGGGCCCGCTACAGCCTGCCCCCGGGGGCTGCACTAGAAAAGGTTGAAAAAAGCATTTAAGGCCTCCGGATACTCTCCGATGGAGGCACTGAAGTAGAAGAAAATAGGCCCACTATATGCACACGGCGACAGGCAAGAGGAGTGAAAGACCAGACGGGCTCATATATTAGTCCCGTAGGAGTTGCCCCTGAGGTATATCATTGAGGGGGCAGAAGAGGCAGTTTAGACCCACGATAGGGTCTGCTGCGAGAACCGGCAGATCTGGTATACAGACGGAAACGGCTACCAGGGAATGATCGGAGTTGCCGCAGTCTCTATTCGAGCAGGAAGGACCGCCAGGAAACACTTGGAAACGGAACTGGATTCTACGGTCTACGTGGGGGAATTAGAAGGGACCCGAATGGCCCTAGATCGGGCGAAGCCTATCCCGGTCACGGTCTTCTCAGATAGCCAGGCAGCTATTCAAGCTGTGCGCAACCCTGGCTGGCTATCGGGCCAGTACGCACTGCGGGCTATCTACGGGAGGATCAGGGCCCTGCGTAGCGAGAGCCTGGAAGATACTGAACTGCGTTGGATTTTCGCTCACATCGGGGTAGAAGGAAACGAAAAGGCGGACAAGATAGCCAAGGGGACTGCGATAAAAGGACTTAAACTAAGCCCAGTAAAGCTGCGGGATCGACCGATTATATAGCTCGCAGCTGCAGCTAAAAGAGATATCCGCTAACGTTTACGTACAGAGTGGATAAAACAGTAGAAAAAGCAGAAAATAGGCAGGCTGACGAGACGGCTACTACTTAAGCCAAATAAGTCGAATCTACGGCTTTACGAGCATCTTAGTAAACTGTATACCTCGATTATTATTCAGATGCGCACTATAAGGATAGGATTAAGGCACTTTCTCTACAAGATCAAACAGGTCGACTCTGACCGGTGCGCCTGTGACCTAGGGTCTCAAACCCCTAGATACGTCCTTCTGGAGTGTTCGCTGCACACGGCCGGCCGGAGGATAATGATGGATTGTTTCAATCAGATAGAAGGACTGCGTAGGCGTATACAGGATTATAACGCAGTTATGTTACACCCGCAGGCGATCCGTTACGTTACCGAATTTATGCAACAAACAGGCCTCCTTCAACAATTCCGATTCGCTCGATTGGACGAGGAGGACGACGAGGAGGC